TTGTTTTCTTTGTCTCCATATATTGCTTGATCTCTGTTTTTATTTGGTTATAGATTTGTTGATTATTTAGGAGCAGGGTGTTAATCCTCCATGTATTTGTGGGCTTTTTTGTTTTCTTTGTGTAATTTGTTTCTAGTTTCATACCTTTGTGATCTGAGAAGCTGGTTGGTACAATTTCAATATTTTTTAATTTACTGAGGCTCTTTTTGTGGCCTACTATATAATCTATTCTTCAGAATGTTCCATGTGCACTTAAGAAGAATGTGTATCCTGTTGCTTTTGGATGGAGTGTTCTGTAGATGTCTGTTAGGTCCATGTGTTCTAATGTGTTGTTCTGTACCTCTGTCTCTTTACTTGTTTTCTGTCTGGTTGATCTGTCCTTTGAAGTGAGTGGTATATTGAAGTCTCCTAAAATGAATGCATTGCATTCTATTTCCTCCTTTAATTCTGTTACTATTTGTTTTACATACGTAGGTGATCCTGTGTTGTGTGCATAGATATTGATAATAGTTATTTCCTCTTGTTTGACTGACCCCTTTATCATTAAGTAATGTCCTTCTTTGTCTCTTGTCACTTTCTTTGTTTTGAAGTCTATTTTGTCTGATACAAGTACTGCAACTCATGCTTTTTTCTCTCTATTAGTTGCATGAAATATCTTTTTCCATCCCTTTACTTTCAGTCTGTGTATGTCTTTGGGTTTGAAGTGAATCTCTTGTAGGTAGCATATAGATGGGTCTTTTTTTTTTTCATCCATTCAGTGACTCTATGTCTTTTGATTGGTGCATTCATACCATTTTCACTTAGGGTGATTATTGATTGGTATGTACTTACTGCCACTGCAAGCTTTAGATACCAGGTTACCAAAGGTTCAAGGTTAATTCCCTTACTATCTAACCATCTAATTTAACTCACTTAGTATGCTATTACAAACAAAACCTAAAGGTTTTGTCTTTTTTTCCCTCCTTTTTCTTCCTCCACCATTCTTTGTATATTAGGTGTCATATTCTGTACTCTTTATGTATCCCTTGATTGACTTTGGGTGTAATTGATTTGATTTTGCATCTTCTTAGTAATTAATTGTTCTACTTTGCTGTGTTTTTTTTTCCCCTGGTGACAGCTATTTAGCCTTAGGAATACTTCCATCTATAGCAGTTCTTCCATAATTCCCTATAGAGGTGGTTTGTGGGAGGTAAATTCTCTCAGCTTTTGCTTATCTGAAAATTGTTTAATCCCTTATTCAAATTTAAATGATAATCTAGCTGCATAGAGTATTCTTGGTTGATGGCCCTTCTTTTTCATTGTATTAAATATATCATGCCACTCCCTTCTGGCCTATAAGGTTTATGTTGAGAAATCTTATGATAGCCTGGTGTATTTTCCTTTGTATGTGATCTTTTTTCTCTCTCTAGCTGCTTTTAAAAGTCTGTCTTTATCCTTGATCTTAGCCATTTTAACTATTGATGTCTTGATGTTGTCTTCCTTGAGTCTCTTGTGTTGGGAGATCTGTGCACCTCCATTGGCCTGAGAGACTATTTCTTTCCCCAGATTGGGGAAGTTTTCAGCAATTACCTCCTCAGTGAGACTTTCTATCCCTTTTTCTCTCTTCTTCTTCTTCTGGTACCCCTTTAATGAAAATATTGTTCCATTTGGATTGGTCACATGGTTCTCTCGATATTCTTTCTTTTTTAGAGATACTTGCTCCTCTCTGCCTCAACTTCCTTGTATTTCTCTTCTCTAATTTCTATTCCATGTATTGTCTCTTCTACTGCATCTAATCTGCTTTTAAATCCCTCTGTTGTATGTTTCATTTCAGATATGGAACTTCTTAATGATTGAATCTCCATCTTTAATTCATTCCTGAGTTCTTGAATATTTTTCTTTACCTTCATGAGGATGTTTATGATTTTTATTTTGAACTCTCTTTCAGGAAGATTGGTGAGTTCAGTTTCACTCAGCCCTTTCTTTTTCTGGGGTTTGTGAGATTTTAGGCTGAACCAGGTTCCTTTGATGTTTCATATTTCTATGTGGTACCCTCTAGTGCCCAGAAGCTCTAGTCTCTGGAGCTGCTCCGCCAGTGGAGTGAGGTTGGGGGTCACAGGGGAGTGGTGCTGGTGCCTGGTGGGAGGAAAGAGCTATTTCCTGCTTTCCAGCTGCAGTGCCTGTCTCCTGTGTCAGAGCCAGTGGGCTGAGCTCACAGGTGTAAACCTCTGTGCTTTGCATGTCTAGCTATTGTAGGCAGAACCTCTCTCTGGCTGGCCTGACACCAGTGCAGTGACCGCTGGTTTGCCAGCCTGTGGCGGCAGGCCAGGAGGAAGGCACAGGTGGTTGTGTGTCACAGTGGGGGACCTCAGAGCTCAGTTGCCAGCTAGGGGGATGGAGCGCTGAGGCTCCTCAAAGTTCCCAAAGTGCTGGGCAGAGTGGGCCCAGACAACCCCAACCACCTATCCATTCTCCCAAGCAGCAAGCTCTGTGCAAACCCCGCCCCTTCAGCAGCCCTCACACTACTAGGAAGCCTCTCAGACCACCTGCCTTTCCTTTGTCCCAGAGCGGCCAGATGTGGATCCCCATCCTCCACAAATGGCCGGAATCTCAGTCTCGCAAGCACTCCACCTGTCTGAGCTCCCCAACCCCTCCAACCTCCAGAGCACCACACAATGTAGGTTTGTGCTCCAAAGCAGATCTCCAGGGCTGGGTGTTCAGCAGTTCTAGGCTTCCACCCCCTTCCTGCTCCATTTCTCTTCCTTCCACTGGTGAGCTGGGGTGGGGGAAGGGCTTGGGTCCCCCTGGATCAAGGGTTTGGTACATTACCCTGTTTTGTGAGGTCTGCTCTATCCTCCAGGTTTATGCAGTCTGGTGCAGCCTTCTTTGCTGTTGCTGTTTTAGGATTAGTTGTATTAAGTATATTTTCATAGTATATATTGTTTTGGGAGGACTTCTCTGTTTCATCTCTCATGCTGCCATCTTGAATCGATCCCACATGGAGATCTGCTTTAGAGCCACAAACATGGCTCTATTTTAAGTATTAACTTTGTGGGCTCAAGTGGATTTAAGTATCCACCATTTGGTATTATTGGTAAATATCCTTTAAAGAAGTGAGAGTTAAATATAAACTCGATGGCCTTTCCTTTACATTCTCTTCTTAGTCTTCCAAATGAACTATGGCTCATTTATGTTTTTCCTAAAACTTTTACATCTTTTTCTTATTTCCAGTTGACTCACCTTACTGTCTGGACCATACAGCCCCCAGATTTACCCACGTATAATATTTAGAGTTATTGATGATAAATGAGCTCTAACTGCAGGGACAGGTAGGTGAAGAGAAAATTATGAGGCATCTAGGTGAAATGAGTACTGACCTTAATTATCAGCATATGTCACTAGCATATTGTGTATGATATACTACTCATATCATACAATCAACTCAAAAAACCAAATCATTATACTCTAAGTATGCAAAATTAATCAGAAACTAAAAATGGCATTTTAGAATATATTTGAAATCTTGAGTATGAGGTTAAGAATACATCATTTTTCCTCTTTTACAAAAGGAATAAAAATTTTTTAGGAAAGGTTGTAATTTTGAATTAATCAAGGTGTTGAACCTCAGGAAAAGACCTTCTGAATAGAACAAATTAAGTTGTGAAGTGCAGGGAAGGTATTACAGAATATACTGAGAAGAGCTGCTGAGTTGACACGTGTGAAAGGGGGCTTGGGATTTCTGATACTCCCAAAGTGATCAAGAGGACCAGCTGCATGCTAACCATGTCACACAACCTGGGAAGTAGCTGTCAAATGTCAACAAAGCTGCCTGTGATATTTGCTGAGACCAGGTGTCACTGCTGGTAGATAAAATGTGTTCCACAGCTTGATACCTATGTTTTATTAGGGGTACCTGAAGAGAACAGTGATTTTAGTAACTAATGGGAAGTCAGTTTCTTTTTCATTCCTCTGATTCATTCATGTGTATGAAAGCTTCAGAGCTATGCCAGAAAAGTCCAACTTTAAAGCACATTTATTAATTAGGACCATGTTTGCCTTTAAGTAAAATGATTACTTTCTGCATAGAGCAATGATAATTGTTCTACCAAAAAATGCTTCAAAATACATGTGAGTGAAATAAAACTTGTATTTCTTTCATCAAGCATTCACCTGCTTATTCTGAATATTCAATGGTTCAGTCTTTTTGAGCCAATGGTATTTAATGTCTATAATGAAGCAATAAAAAATTATTAAATTCATCATCACTTCTTATTTGTGGTGACTTTTGTGCCCAGTTTCCAAATACCAAGCTTGGATTAAAGTTGAATATGTTGTAAATAGCTGCTAGAAATGGATTCATTTTCAGCTGTAGCACTATGATGTATCAACCCCATACTTTTAGCCAAAATGTAATTTAAGGCATTCTGTAGGTCTTTGATCCTACTTTTCAGGACTGATTCCTCAGAATTCCAGAGTTCTTCATTAAAGAATTGCTCATCTCTAACACTGTGTTAGCATGATTCCCTGTGTAGATTTGTAATAAGGCTCCAGTTAGAATATGACTTTGTTACCTCTTAGAAACTTATTATAATTTAAGGAAATTAAAGAATACACATCCTTATGTTAGTATATACACAGTTACCTTTGACCTTTCTGTGACTTAAGTTTGAGAATTTCCATTTTTGTTTCAGAAATATGTCTGAAAACATAATATTATTTCAGGTTACCACTGGGAAGAACATTTTACTGCATGTGATTCTGTGAAATCGGGTTTTCTTTATAAGGTCAAAAATCATCTGTGAGAATGGATTCTACAAATGGACTGATGTGAACTAATCATTCTGTGTTTATTCTTGGAGGAGCCAAAGAAATAATGATTCAAACACAATTATATGAAAGCCAAAGTAATTTGCAGCCTATGGAATATAAAATACTTTCAATAAGAGTTTTTTAGGTGGGCAGTATGAATACAGAGGATCTTTTAGCACATTGTTTATTGATTCATTCTTTCTCCCTTTTAGGGTGTGGTTAGACCCACTGGGGGATATGCTGTAATGCTAAACTGGACAATGTCCTCTGTATATGGACTTAAACCTGGAGAGGTAAGCATGGTTATAAATTCACATTACGTGACATTCCTCTGATTCAGATATGTGTATTTCAATGTCTTCTTGTATTTTTAGGTATGGTGGGCAGCTTCTGACTTAGGCTGGGTTGTCGGACATTCCTATATCTGTTATGGACCTCTTCTACATGGGAACACAACTGTTTTATATGAGGTAATAGAATAAAATCAATACTACTGGCAATAGCATGTACCTTACTGAAACTTTTTGAGTAGTAGTTCCAAGTGGGGACAGAAAAATTTGGATGGGGACAGGTGACACATGTATATCATCTTCCAGTTAAGAATATGATTTCAAAAAAGAAAGGAATATAAGGAAAACAATAGCCACTTATTTAAATTGTGTAGAACAAAGCCAGTAAAACTTGTGCTCTGAAAAAATTATACTAACAAGCTTGATGTCTATCCATAATAGGTTCCTAAAAAGTATTATACCAAAGTCCTTATAATAGAGCAAATATTTTTATTAAAATAACCATTTCCCTTGAAGTAAAAAAAAAAATAAGCTGTGACTAAATACTTACAATGAATTTTGATATTGGTAACATAAGTATGCAGAACCGAAGTTGCCATTCTAAGTATTTATAAATATTAGGCTGCCTTTGGAATTGAAATGCATACTATTTTGTACATTTACCATTGGCATTTTATGATTTCTCAAGTTTATTTAAAACATGATTCTAACCTGCAAAAGGGCCTCAGTTATTTGTCTTTATCTTGGAATGATGTACGCAAGAAGAGTGTAGACGCTCTATAAATATTTGTTGTGCCAGTGAGTGAATGAAGTAAGCTACATTTTAAAATCTCTTCTCTGCACTCTGGTTTCCTTCCTATAATTTGTAAACATCCACAGTTCTTTCTGATCACAAAACAAAGCCTTTTAGACATTTGCCTGCTTCTAGCTATCCATTTTTACTTTCTTCTCCACTAAACTCTTTGAAAAAATACCCAATGCATGTGGTCTGAACTTGATATTCTCCCAGTTACTCTTTATCCCACTGTTGTCTGATTTCTGTCCACATTGCTTCAGAGACGCTGCAGTAGCAGAGGTCAACAGTGACTTCACAAGGGACAAAGTCAAAGGGCCTTCTTCAAATTGATTTTATTTTTATTTGCTCTGTGACATCAACCCTGCTGACTGTTTTCTGCAAGTAATTCTCTTCTCTTGAGCTCCCTGCCCTTTTGCCTCTGTTCAGGCTGTTTCTGGCAAGACTTTCCCTCTGTCTTTCCTCTCCTGGTTAATTCCTACTATCCTTGGAGACTCTGCTTAGATGTTATCATCTCTTGAAAGTCTCCTCTCACAGTCTCTGGCTGTGTTCAGCGCCCCCTTCCATGGCGCCCTTGGTCCCTGCGCACATGTCTATCAGCGAGCTGACCACGCTGCGCTGGAATTGTCTGTTTCTATCCAGTTAGAGTGTCAGATCCTCAAAAGCCAGTCTCAGCACAGTGCATAGAACACACTAAGCACTCAATAAATGCTTATGGAATTGAATTAAATTCTACACCTATGTTTTCTTCCTACCTCTCTGATAGCTTGTCATCCTTTCCCTCTCCCTGGTATCTCTTACTCTGGTCCTAAACATTGGGGTTTGATAGGGTCTTACTCCTAGGCTTCTTTCTCATTCTGCTTGTCTTTCCTGAATAATGTCTATGCAGTTGGATTTGAGTGTTATTAATTAAACCAAGGCTCCTAGCTCTTCCTTTCAATATCTGCCCTTTGTGCTGAGCACCATCTGATTGTTGGTTGGCCTCATACGCATCTTACTTGCAAGATAACGTGAACTGAACTGTCTCCACCCTTTCCTGCAGCACACTTCCTCCCCAGGTGCTCTGCAGTGTTCTCAGTGTTGCCTGCCACTCAGTCATCCAAACCAAGAACTGGGGAGTGATTCCAACTTCATTATCCTCATATATCACACCCTATTGGTCCTTGCATTCTGTTGAATTTCCATTTTAGTACCTATCAAAAGTGTTCTCTCTTTTCCTTGCTTCCTGCTGTATATTCAAGGCTGATACCCAGCTGGTATGCACAACTGTGTTGTTGACTGGTATATAGTCTGTGTTTGGCTTCTGATCTGATTTCTGCCTGTGTTTTCCATTTATGTATTATGGACTACCACCAGATAATGAGTGTAGAGCAGATTGTGGCAGATGGTCCTGCCTTAGATGTACTTCCAGACCCTCCCCACCCTCACTCTAATTTCTGAGCCCTTCACACATACAGTTCACTCTCTAAAATGCAAAGGCTAACATAGAACTTTATTGCTTAAAATCCTTCAAAGGGTTGAGTTCTGTTTGGGAAGATAGATGACATACTTTATTTCTTCCTCAAAGTAGAACTCAAAGGTATTATGTCTAAAACAAACTTAAGATTAAAAGGTACAGAGAAAAAGGAAAACTGGCTTTTCCCAATGTACCTTGGACCTCAAGTAACAGCATGGTTGTTAAGGGTGTTTTTATTTTTCCCTGATGTATCCTAGATTTGTTGCTGAAGGAGCTGACAACCTAGAAATGCCGACAGCTACAGACCAAAAAGCTCCCACCCCCTATAAATTTCTGATCTCTCAAGCCAAGAGGGTAGGAAAGGGCAGCCTAAGCAAGATGTAAGACTTGAAGACGCCTCTGCTTAAGACAAACACCACAGAACAACCCACGATTGCACCCCCACCAGCAGAGGCTGAGTGGGCAGCTTAGACTCACACATTTGTCAGGCTGTAAGGAGGAGCTATAACCCTCCCTCCTCCCAAAGGGGTGCTATCAGGGAGGTTTAACTGGGCAGCCAAGACCTCCATTCCTGCCAGGGAGCACCGAGACCCAGCGGAGGCCACACCAGGGGCCTGGGTTTATGCTCCCACTCGTTAGTACTCAGGGTGGGGTCGACGAAGGCCTCGGAGAGAGGCAGGACTCCTACTCAGATATGTTTTCTGGCCTCTCTTCTATTTCATATTTGCTCCCTTTTCAAAGAGCCTGTCATCTGCAGAATCAAAACCTGATCCTTCTCAAGGGCAAACAAATCCTTCTGGACCCTTTTCCTCCTAATGTACAAATGTGTATCTTCTACACACACTTCCATTGAGCATAACATAGTGGAACCGAGGCCCCCACAGGGGTGTGGCTCAGCAAGAAATCACTGTACTTGAGAAACATCCCCCCCCAATAGTCCCCTATGATCCTGTTTATTTCTGATCCATCCATTATACTGCTCCTCTTTCATTTCTGATTTTATTTATTTGGGTCTTTTTTTCATCCTAGTTAGTCTAGCTAAAGTTCTATTGATTTTATTTTCTCAAAAAACAACCCTCTGTTTCTATTTTTTCTATTATTTTTCTCTATTTGATTTATTTCTATTCTAGTCTTTATTATTTCCTTCCTTCTGCTAACTTTGGGCTTTGTTCTCTTTCTAGTTCTTTGAGGTATAAAATTAGTTTGTTTTATTTTAGATCTTTCTATTTTTTAATATCAACATTTACTGCTGTAATTACTTTTGTTGCAGCCCTTAAGTTTTGGTATGTTGTATTTTCATTTGTCTCAAAAAACTTTTTAAATTCTCTTTTGATTTTCTCATATATTCAATGGTTGTTTAAGAATATGCTGTTTAGTTTCCATGTACTTGTGAATTTTTGTTTTCTTACTATTATTTATTTCTAGTTTCATTCTGTTGTGGTCAGAAAAGATACTTGGAATTATTTCTGTTTTCTTAAATTTGTTAAGGCTTGTTTTGCGACCTATCATGTGATCTATCCTGGCTATTGTTTCTTAAGTGCTTGAGAAGAACACATTTTTTTGCTATTGGGTGGAAAGATGTTGGCCAAGGGATATAAATTTTCAGTTATTCAAGAGGGATAATTTCCAGAGATCTAATGTACAACAATGTGACTATGGTTAACAAGACTGTATTTGTGTGTGCGTGTGTGTGTGTGTGTGTGTGTGTGTGTGTGTGTGAAGGGATTTTCGTTTAATACATCTGAAAAGAATACATATACAAAGCATTGAAACATGAGAAAACATTGGTTCAACAACTAATGAATCTATAAGAATTAGGATTTGGGGAAGGTGGAGAAGATTACCTAAACATTTTTAAAAATTGGAAACTGCAACCAAAATGAGCTGACAAAATCCCTATCACCACTTACGAAGAGTCTTCCTAAGACTCTCTCCATGATTTTTATTAAACTAGAGAGACTCATTCGGCAGCTCTAGGGTTCCTCACATGCAAAACAGAAATAAGAGGATTCTCTTGACTGGACCCCATGTTGTTGAGGGTTCTCCCCACCCCCACCCCACCATCACCTCCTTAATGAAGCAGGTCTCCTTCCACATAACTTGAAAGAGGATGTGAATCATTTCATAAACATCTGTCTTCTAGCTCCACCCCTATTTCCTCTGTGTATCAGGTCTTCAGCTGTGTTCTACGAACACCACATCATACACCATTAAGCTGCACATCTATACTAAGCATATGAGACAATGACTGACAGGGGAAAAATTGTTTTTTAATTATGTAGTCAATCCATTTGGTGTATTTCAAAAGGTGCAATACTTTTCTTCATTTATCAGTGAAAGAAGTCAGAAATTAACTAAAAAAAATCAGCATATGACTAACACATTTCCTTGAAAGTCACAGTCACATGTATTGTGCATCTTAGAAAAGAGGAGAAGCAAGACAGGTTCCACCCACTTTCATGAGTTCCATCAAATACTGGACCTACTCAGTAGAGAGAAAAGGCAACTTTCAAAAGGTGTATGTTATTAAATCAGGCATTTACTATACTCCTTCCTAAGAGGACCAGATGGGGACCATGTTTCCTAAACTACACCTGGGAAGTGGAATGTGGAATCAATCCACCCTCCTCCCCTGAAGGGCTGTCCAATGGTTAATAAATTTTTTAAAACATGACTAAATAAAAACAAACCCCCCACACACTGCCCTCCCCCAATGAAACAAAGAAAAAAAATACTAACAACTATATGTCCCAGATCACTCTCCAGAGTGGAGCCCAGGAGCAGCTTCAATAACCCAAATTAGTCTGTCACAGAGTCATCACAAGCACACCCCATTTCTGTCCACAGTGAGTGATGCTGACTTTCCAGATGCATTTACTGAAAAAGGCTTCATTCTAAATTAGTGAAGAATTTTAATGTTTGAGAGGAAGC